TACCATTATTAAATAGTCATCAACCACATTCCACAATATGCACAAGATAAATTTAATGCATAGATATAAATAATAAGCATTCAGTACGGGCCTAAAATCCAATTCCAATTATGTAAAGTGCTACAATAAATTTAAGCATTCACATTCTCCATCATAGTCCAAAAATTGATACAGTTAATAGAAATTTAAGTATCCACTACATCCAAGGTAAGCATAGGAAATTCAGTTAATTCCCTATACTTCAAATACTATAGAATTATGATTTATATATATATTTAAATCATACACAACAACCTAGCCAAGCTCAGGTATATAAACCTAGCAAATCTTCCAATATAATTCACGAATTGATACCGTTAATAGAAATTTGAATATCAATTAAACCCAAGGTAAGCATAGGGAATTTTTAGTTAATTCACTATACTTATAATACTATAGAAATATGATATATTTTTATAATTAAATCATATACACAATCCTTGTTAAGTTTCAGTGCCAATAAAACTTGTCCAACTGTGTGCAACTCCTAAGTCTTATTTACTTATATAGTCCATCCTTTAATCCATTTTTGAGTTATTATTTTCCCATGTTATTATAGGTTTATAACAGCCTATACAACACTTAAAATAAGTTAAACGAAGTCCTAATGCACTGTACAGTCCAATTAACGCATAAAAATCATACTGTTTGAGATTTCTGGGCAAGAGCAGGCTCTAGAAAAATTGAGCCAGCTCTTTTATGGATTGAGCTGGCTCTAAGGATCTAAGAGCCTGCTCTAAACAGCCAAGAGCCTGCTCTAAGAATATTAGAGCTGGCTCTTTCCATTTTTGGAGCCTGCTCTTACTCCCTTGCATGTCGTTGTCCGTTCCGGCTTCATCTTCTTCAACTCCGGTGTTTTCCTACACCCTCTGTGATGTTTTTAATCCTTATTCTAGGTTCAATCTTAATCCTAGATACATCATAAACCTCTAACATCCAACCATAACATGTATTGAACACAATATTTGAAACCAACGACAATAGAAAATCAGTTTGCAATCTACCGCTTTCCTTAGATTTATTTTGCTCTATTCTTATGCTTAATCATGGATTAATGTTTCCCATAATATATTAAGCCTATTATAGTCCCAAGACATCAATTAAACAATTTATACGAAGTGGTAATCATCTGAATAGTCCATACAGTGCCCAAAGTCCAATTTGTGTGCCTTTGGGTGAGAGCAGGCTCCATAAAATTTGAGCCTGCTCTTTTAAATGTTGGAGCCGGCTCCCTAACTTAGGGAGCCTGCTCTTTTCAGCATGGAGCCGGCTCCATGCTCCTTGGAGCCGACTCTTTGTGTGAGGGAGCTGGCTCTCTCATTTTGAGAGCCTGCTCTCTCTTTTTCTGGCGCGTTCTGCGTTTTTCCACTTCATCTTCCTCGCATCCGGCGATACACAAGCCTCTGTAAATAATTTAATACATGTTCTAGGGTTCCATTAAATGTTCTAGATTAACCCTAAATCCATGGTATACAACCACGACATGAATTGAACACACCGTTTGAAAACTACGACAACAGAATTTTCAGTTAGAAAATTTAACCAATTTCAAAACAGATTAATTCTGTAAACTCCAACCCTATTTTAATACTGGTTCTAGGATTAAATCTTAGACCCAGACAAAATCCTAAACCATGGTTATACATCCACAACATGGATTTAATAGAATCTTTTAAACATAACGGCAACAGAAATTCGACTAGTAACTTTAAGCAAACTCAAACCCAATTATTACAATGAAATTAAATACTGTATGCTCATGCATAAAAGACGTGTTACAACACCTATTTAATCCATTTTAAACCTTATTAAATCCCTGGAGACTACCTAGGCATGCACAGAACACAAATTACAGAGGAAAGAGAAGAACAGAACTTGCCTGCAGTTTCAGATTTTGAAACTGTAAACCAACGTCTCTGGATTTCCAGTCAACGCCCTAGGCTGCCGTTCACCACCTCCGGTGCTCTTGGTTCAACCCAAAAGCACTCCACTCCTTCCTCCTTGAGCCTCTCTGTATATTAGTCAGACTCACTCTCTGTTTATTTGTCTCTCGCAACTCTTTTTTTATGTGAATAGGGTTAACAAAACCCTTGGCCATCCGTACTTATGTATTTATAGGTTTTAATTGAAACCCTAATTTAAATCCTAAACCAAACCCTAAAGTAAAGCCTAAACCAATTATATATCGGCTCCAATCCTAGACACGATGTAAAACATGAAATCCTAATTACCAAAACAGTGAATTCACCTAAGCACGTAATTAATTAAACTTGAGAAATACATTTAAATTAATGAAACAAACCAAAATACAATTTAAGCAATTAATTAAAGCAAACACAATTTAGAACGATTAATGAAAGAAAAACACAATTAATTGAATTAAAAATAAAATAAATCAAATAAGTAAATAATTAATTAATCAAAACAAACAAATAATTAATTAATTTAATAAAAAAAATACAATAAATAATTAAATTAAATTCCAGGACTGTCCTTTTAAAATTAGGGGTATTACAATAACACCCCCTACCTCAATTTGAGATGAAAATCTCAAAAGCCCACCGAAATAAAAGTGCTCCGAATCTGACGATACCGAAGGGTTTTGTCGGGGACAACACGGTGAACAAGAATCCGAAGAAAGCCCCATGAAAATCACAACTTGACTTCAAACCCGAACTCAAGAAATGGTTAGAAATGGATTCTAATAAGGGGAAAATGTAGAGCACGACGAGGGAAACAGTAAACGTTAAGGCCGAAGACTTTTCACTTAAGAAAAGTGGATCAAAGGAGGAGAGAGAAAGTGGCAGCTCCATGGGCATCCATGGCTGCCGGCCAAGAGAGGAATAAGAAGAGAAAAATCTGATTTTTCTTCTTTAAGTCCCCTATTTATAGAAAATCTCAAAAAATGCCCCGAAAGGGCCCTACCAGGTCCGGAAAAGTGGAATTTGAGCAAACGCACTCAAACAGAAAAACTCCGTGAATGAAAAAGATTCAAAATGAGAAAAGATAAACAACGGAATAAATGGCGTCAAAAACTGAGTCTCGAGCAGAGATATATACTCCGAACAAGTTCGGCGGCAACCGGGTCAGAAACTCTGAAACTGGAGAAAAACGACCAAAACGGAATTCTAAAAGTACACGACTCGACGAAATGTGAAAATGAATCCCGTACGAGAATCCAGGCTCCAGACGAGGTATTTTGCAATAACTTTCGTTAATTGCACAATGGCTCCTACAAAAAGGGTTAACTGCGAAACTGCCCCAGAATGAAAATATCTTCCAAAAAATATTTTCTTAGATGCCCCTGAAATAAAATATCTTCAAAATATATTTACGAAAAATACCCCAAGAAAAGAAAATAATTCCATAAAACTATGCATCCATACCCCTATGGACCCCAAGAGCAACCAGAGTACTTTCTTGCAAAAGTAAAGATATGTATTTCAAGGAAACCACTGAAGATGAAGACATGTGAAGTCAAAAACCAACTCCAAGCATGAAAAGTGAGGTTGTGCCAAAAACTGACAAACGGGGAAAAGACAGAATAGGGAAGAAGATGAAATAGGGAAAATGACGAAAAGCCGAAAAGTGAAAATGTGGAAATGACTCGGTCCTCAAAGGAAGTTGTCAATTTGCACGAAAGAGTCTCAGAAACCAATTCCAGGCACTTGAGACGACACTATGTGACAAGAAATAGAACTCAGAAAAGAAAATTAAACGGAAAAAATTTATTCGTAAAATTTCAGGAAAAATGAAAGGAAGGAAAATGACCGGGTCATTACAAAGTAAATAGATATCATATTAATATTATATTATTTGGTCAACTTATAAATTACCTTTTTGGTAATTAATTATTGAAGAAATGTTTTCTTTTTTATTCCTTACTTTGATGGAAAGTGGAATTAAGATTATGAAAAGTAAAACTGGTCCTCCTCTGCCTTTATAAAAGTGCATATATCCCATCAATTATGTACGTTAATGAAGCAACACGTATAAATTTTTATATGTGCGAAAGGTCAAGAGAGAAAAATTAGTTTACACGCTTTGCTTATTGTTTGGAGTTGCAGATTAGTTCGTTGTTAAAGGATCTTGACGTTGGATTTGATCTAAACAAGATTTGCAATCACAGATTGAGGTATTTATATTTAACTACTTTATTTATGTACGCTAATGAAGCAACACGTATAAATTTTTATATGTGCGAAAGGCCAAGAGAGAAAAATCAGTTTCCACGCTTTGCCTATTGTTTAGAGTTGCAGATTAGTTCGTTGTTAAAGGATCTCGACGTTGGACTTGATCTCAACAAGATTTGCAATCACAGATTGAGATATTTATATTTAACTACTTTATTTATGCATTATAGATTTGTGAAAATAATGAAACTCTAAGATCTTAGAATTCATGTTTATTTGTGATTAATACTTGACACGAATTATTAAAGTTTACATCTTCTTCCACGTCTTTCTTCTTCTTTCCCGACCATAAGCACCAAAATGCCATCAACATTGTGAACACATACCTCTCCGTCAGCCTCTTCCTGACGGTCCGCAACTTTCAACTCTCCCTTTGTGACCTTGGCATCAACAAGATCTGTTTGTTTGGTATGGACATTTTTGAAAGAGTAAAAGGGTAAAATAGGCTTTATATTAATTGAAGGGTAATTTCATACAAAATAGTGATATTTTTGCACATCTTTTTAAATAAAGTATAAAAGTACTCCACAAATGTTTCTTGCACTTTCTCCAAATTTTAAATAAAACTGTGACATTTACGCTCTGCTCGGACCAATTGAGTCAACTATTGTGTGTGTGCTAGCTAAGAAGCAGTTCATGGGCTCGGGCAAGTTTCCCCGTGCGGTGTGACTTCGTCTACCTTTCCGGATCCCAAAGTAGCATGATGCCGACCCGATTATAGACCCGCTCGCATTGTGTCACCTTATCTAGAATGTATGATCCTATCAAGGAATCTATATGAGATTTTCTGGTAAGTATGCACACAAAAAAGCTCCAGAACATCAGTGGCCAACTTCCACCTCTTCATTTTACATAGAATCACAGGTACCTTCTCTCTCTCTCTCTCTCTCTCTCTCTCTCTCTATATATATATATATCTAACATAAATACACACAGGTACCTTCTCTCTCTCTCTCTCTCTCTCTCTCTCTCTCTATATATATCTAACATAAATACACACAGGTACCTTCTCTCTCTCTCTCTCTCTCTATATATATATATATATAACATAAATACACACATACATGAATATCTGTTTTTTCTTTAAAATGATGATCCATGGGCTTTGAACATCAGAAAACAAGTAATGACAATCTTTTATGCTGAGTTTTTGCCACACTGCCTCCCATATGGTACCCAGCTGCAATCCGCTTCCCATTCTCACCGTAACTCTGTTGTGAGCCGAATAAACCCTAAACCAAGTGACATTCGCTCCAGAAATCCACCAAATGTCAAGTTTTCTGGTGAAACAAGACCAACCCATTTGCAATCTGATGATTTGAAAAGAACCCATTTGATGAAATTACTCAATAGGTCCTGCAAAGCAGGAAAACTTAATGAATCACTGTATTTTCTCGAGTGTGTGGTGAACAAGGGTTACAAACCAGATGTGATCCTTTGTACAAAGCTCATGAAAGGGTTCTTCAATTCGAAAAATGTGAAAAAAGCAGATAGGGTCATGGAAATTCTGGAGTTACATGGTGAACCTGATGTGTTTGCATATAATGCTCTGATTAGTGGGTTTTGTAAGATTAATCAAATTGATTCCGCGAACAAAGTGTTGGATCGAATGAGGGCTCGAGGGTTTTCACCTGACATTGTCACATATAACATAATGATAGGGAGTCTTTGCAGCAGAGGGAAGTTAGGGTTAGCTTTGAGGGTGTTGAATCAGTTATTGGAGGATAATTGTAGGCCAACGGTGATTACCTACACAATTTTGATAGAAGCAACCATTCTTGAAGGCAGCATTAGTGAAGCAATGAAGCTTTTGGATGAGATGTTGTCGCGAGGGCTTCAACCGGACATGTATACTTACAATGCAATTATAAGGGGAATGTGCAGAGAAGGAACGATAGATCGAGCTTATGAGTTCGTTAGGAGCTTACCGGATAAGGGTTGCAAACCGGACGTGATCTCGTACAACATCTTGTTACGGACATTGTTGAATCGAAGGAAATGGAAGGAAGGGGAGAAGCTGGTGAGTGAGATGGTTTCTGAAGGTTGCGAGCCCAATGTGGTTACTCATAGCATTCTGATAAGCTCATTCTGTCGCGATGGCAAGGTTGATGAGGCAATAAACGTATTGAAAGTTATGATGGAAAAGGGATTGACTCCCGACACTTACAGCTATGATCCATTGATTTCTGCACTCTGCAGAGAGGGGAGGCTAGATTTGGCAATTGAGTTCTTGGATCTTATGATCTCGAATGGTTGCTTGCCAGACATTGTGAATTACAATACAATATTGGCTGCTTTGTGCAGGAGTGGAAATGCTGATCAGGCATTCGAAATTTTTGAGAATCTTGGCAACATTGGTTGTCCTCCGGATGTGAGTTCTTACAACACAATGATGAGTGCTTTGTGGAATAACGGAGATAGAACTAGGGCAGTGAGAATGGTTTCAGAGATGATAAGCAAACGGATTGACCCTGATGAGATTACGTTCAATTCACTACTCTCGTGTTTGTGCAGAGATGGAATGGTGGATGAGGCAATCAGGTTGTTGGAGGACATGGAGATTAGCGGTTTCCCACCAACTGTGATCACTTACAACATTGTGCTTCTTGGGCTATGCAAAGCTCATAGAATCGACGATGCCATTGAAGTTCTAGCAAAAATGGTCAAAAGGGGCTGCAGACCAAATGAAACTACCTACATTCTATTGATTGAAGGGATCGGTTTTGCTGGTTGGCGAGCTGAGGCTATGGAGTTGGCGAATTCCCTCTTTGAGATTCATGCTATTTCAAACGAGTCATTTAAGCGTTTGAACAAAACTTTCCCTATGCTCTATGTTTATAAAGACTTCAGTCATTCAGAAACTAAGTAGCAGCTCACCAAGATCTCTTTGATATGTTACTGATCTTTGAAATGGGAAGTTCATGTTCCATCTCTTTGGTTCTGCTTTTGTCTCTCTTACAATGTATTGTATGGGTTTTTCATGTAATGAGGGACGTGAAGTTCGGGTTTGGAGTACTGATGATCTTCATTAAGGAGAGCCATCCTAGTTTCTCAGAGAGTTGAAGGTGCTGAAGTTGTTTAATCTTCCATTTCTTCTTCGTTGTAGAATGTCTGATCGATCACCTTCAATCCCGCGTCGTGCTCTTTGATTTCCCCCCAACAGTGAATGAGGAATCTTAATTTTTTGAAGACAATGCAGGAGAGGAGTAAGTGATGTATATTATTGTAGTGTGCTTCAGTTACTAAAGGGTGTCTCTAGTCTCCACCTAACATGTCCATTATTTGTTTCTGCATCTATAATCAGCATGAGATACAGTTGAATGATATATAAAAAAGCCAGAGAAACCTCATGTCTTCCATATTTCTGTTTTACTTTCAGTAAACATGTACTTAATTTTCAGTGTCGTCTTTAACTATTTACATGTGTGATTTTATATGGTTGAACTGTTTTGAGGTTGGCTTTGAGTGGGTAGGATGAAAATTTTTACCATCAACCAAGAATTTGATCAATTGACCATTTTATGAATGTTCAAACCCAAAATCTTCGAAACAAGAGATGTGAATTAAATTCTTGGTAATCCTAGATAGTTTAATTTTGTGTAGAGAGAGAGAGAGAGAGAGGAGAGATTAATCTGATTACATTTTCATGCCGGACAATCCTGTATCTATGTATAGAATCCAAGTTAAATTGGCGTTGGCTAATGAGAATGCAAAGGGTGGGGATCATATAGCTTCTGAACTCTGAAGTCAGCATCTTAATATCTCTCTCCACAGATATATATATATATATATATATATATATATATATATATATATTCCCTATTAAAATCAGAAGGAAAAAAAAAAAAAAAAAAACTCCTTTTTCTCAAAGAAATTGGTTTCCGTCCAAAACCAGAAGCAGATTGTCGTATACACTAATGACTGTACAATCATAAGTGGATGCATGGACATTTGATCCCAAACTTCTTGTCACACACTACAGATTTTCGAAGCTTTTTAACACGGGTATGTTTAGCTATTTAAAGAAAATTGAAATGAAGCATAAAAAACCCGGTGCAAGAGTGCCTTAATGTGGAGTTATTCTCAGCAAGCTCTCTCTTCCCTGTCATGGCATGTCGGAGGCAAAGCATACAAAACCCAGATTGTCTAATCAGTCTCAGTGAAATGCATATTCAATCAACTGAGAAGCCTATAAAAACTTAAGAGACAGAATTTAATTTAGAGAGAGAGTAACAGGGATTTTCATTTGTACTCTAATTTCTTTTGCTTTTCCTAAAGAATTCTCCCCCGTCTCTCTCTATTAAATCATAGAGTAAGAAAAAACACATTATACACCCACAGGGCCACATCATATGCGTACCAAATATAGGCATGAACAGAGTAAGGAGTAAAAATGCTCTCCTTTTACTCTTAGCCGACCACCATCAGTATCAAACTTTACAGCTTGCCACTTCTGCTTTTTGTAATTAATGCGAAAATCCGAACATCATCCATCATACATAGGTTGTTAGAAGGGGTTTTGGCGCAAAGCCGTGGCAGTGAGGGAGATGGTGGCAAGGGGGCAGAGAATGCACGGTGAGGACGGACCAGTACCACTAGGCAACTGCCCCTGGTGCGACAGTCATCTTCAACAAACTCTGGAGGTGAGGACGGACCAGTACCACTAGGCAACTGCCCCTGGTGCGACAGTCATCTTCAACAAACTCTGGAGTTCAGTAAAATTCTTGCGCTAAATTCTATGATGTTAGACTTGGTGGGAGATTGGTGTAGTTTACCCTTGACATAAAATATGTCCACATATTCCGAACATATGTGAAATTAGCATAGCCAATTAAAAGTTGTATGAAAAAAAGAAAAAGAAAAAAGAAGAGAGACAAATAAAAGGGGGAGAATGAGTTCGTTTTCAGTGTGTTTTATCGTTACTCTTGGTAATGCATCATCTTTGGAATAAAATGTTGGTTTTTATGAAATGAAGATCTCAAATTGCCTGTTTACCGGGAAGAAAGAAAGAAAAAGATCTAAATTGCCTCGTTAAAGGGGGATTAATGGGACGGCACTGCATCTGCACACTAAATCATCATAAAACCTACAACTGCACTGAAATCTAATGGCACTCGATGTCTAGATTTATAAAAAACTTACAGAACCAGCAAAAGGAAGGGGCATGACAACTATTGAATATTCAATTTCAGCACACGAGCAGTGAGTTATTTCGAACATACATGTGTATATATATATCAAAACTTTTCAACATTAGAATCTGCAAAAACACTGATGGCACCTCTTCTAAGGAAAAGAGTTTACCAACTAAAATATTCATTTCCATGTTTTTTTCCTAAAAATGTAAAAATACTAATAGAAACTACAAAAAAACTTTTGAACCTCTCTTATCCTGTGTCTAAAAAAGTGACCATTCCCAAGCAGCGGCCTTCGTCAGTCTACAGACGGTAATGATTCGATGGATCCCAAAAGATTCCCTGGAATGAATAATCCATGTAAAAGGACAAGTTAGGCAATGATACACAGGTCCTGATGAATTTAAGTATATCCTAAGTATTTAGGATAACTAAATTTAAATGTGGTATGCTCATCTTGTATGAACAGAAACCATAATTCCAGATAAAGCAAAAATAATAATTTCATAATACATGATAGAAAAGATTATCCCGTTTTATATTCATAATACAAGTTAGAAAATATTGTCGTCTTGTATAAGACAAAACATAAGCTATCCTCCCTTAAGCTTGAGAGCAAAGTTGTATAAAACAACTATTAGACCATAGTTTGTGGGACAAAATATTTTTTTTTATAAATGGTAAAGCAAAGACACACTTTTTCCCACACTTGGGCTCGAACCCCTCCCTTCCTTTTTGGGGATGGGGAGGCTATACCATCGGGTTACAAGTCCTTTGGTTGTGGGACAAAATGTTGGACAACTAAGAAACAACATATAAACATAAGTTGTCATCAGGATTCACGTATTACATGAACCACGGGTTATTAGGAAATAGAGAGAGCATCAATGTATTGAAGATTGAGCACTTACCAAGCACCGTAAGTAATGACAGAGAAACTGTACAAGGATCTGAATTGACATATCCTGTACAACTTGGAAGTGAAATCCGGCTGATGATGTGCCTTGCAATTGTTGATAAGGATCAGAGTTCTGCATATAATCTATTAATCTAACTTGGTTTCTCCTTTAAAAACATTCCATTCACTCAATTTTCTACGTAATTCTGTAGCCTCTTCAGTCATGCCAGTAGCAGCTACTCCTTCAATTATGGTGGAATAGACCGTCTCATCAGGTCTGCATTGACTTGAAACCATCATTTCTAAGACTTGTATTGCAATATCCACCTTCTTGTTTTTACATAACCCGTGGATTATCAATCTGTAAGCACTATTTCTGATCCTGTGGTTTCTCTTAGCCATCACCTTCAATATTTCCACTGCTTCTTCAACTAGATCCGCCCGACAGAATCCCCAAGTCAAACAACGATGGGTAATATCATCTGGGATAATGCCACGCTCTGTCATAAGATCATACAGTGCCATCGCCTTTTCCATATAACCCATTTTTGCCAATCCATCAATCACAATATTGTATGTGACCAAACTAGGAGAGCAGTTCGAATCACATAAACAGTGAAGAATTTGAAGGGCTTCATCTAACATCCCCTCTTTACAAAGAGCACGTAGGAGGGTGTTATAAGTGATTATGTCGGGGGAATGGTTTCGGGAAACCATTTGAATAAAGAAGTCGATGGCACGATCCAGAAGGCCATACTTACACAAGCCATTGATCAAAATATTGTAAGTAACAACAGTAGGAAATTGGGAAGTTTCATTCATAAAAGAGAGGATCTCGTCTACCTCATCCCAATACCCCTGTGTACAGAGAGAATGAAGAAGAGTGTTGTAGGTTATAGCATTGGGCTCCATCCCACGTGATAGAAGATTATATATAACCAAAGCTGTATCTCCAAACTTTCCTTGTCTGCAGGTGAAGTTTACCAACGAATTGTAGGTCACAAGATCAGGGCAGCACCCCTCAATTGCCAAATCTTCTAATACTTCTATAGCCCGTACAATCCCACAATGCTTGCAGACTAGCTCGATGAGAATCGTATAAGTCACCAAATAAGGAGGGCATCCCTTTCTCAATTGATCCTTCCAAAATTCTATGGCCTTGTCAAACCTTTTGCTATCAAACAAGCTGCGTAATATTGAGTTATAAGTAATCACATCTGGGGGGCAACCACTTAAGCTCATGCCTTCTAGGACATCAATTGCAGATCTTATTTGCCCTTTCTTACACAAACCACCAATTAACATGTTGTATGTGATAATATCTGGAACACCACCGGACATAACCATTACTGTTAGGACTCTGGCAGCTTTGTCTATCCGGTCAAGATTGACAAGGCCCCGGATTAAGTTTATGCAAGAAAGGAAGTGGGGAATTTGGTTTCGACGCACCATCACTTCTATCAACTTTGATGCATCAACTAACTTCCCAAAACTGCAAAATCTTTGTAGAATTTCATTATTGGTTTCATCATCATTTTCAACAAAGGGTCCATCTAATGACGATTTATGATGTCTTCTGAAGGACATTTTCTCTCCCTGTTTCTTCTCAACACCCATTTCGTATTTACCCGAGCTCCGTTCCTCTTGGTCATGGTGATTTATTCTATCAAGGCAAACACCTCTCTGCTGGCCTCTACAAGTCAACAAAACTGCATTTTTTTGGCGACCAATATGTCCCCTCCACTGGAGACAGGAATGAGTTTTGCAATTACCCGTGATAGAACAACTGAAGTGAATTGCTGATGTCATCAAGGAAGAGTGGCAAATACCAGGACTCAGGTCCATTTTGTTAGAATGTGAATGCAATTTATGCAAATAGGACTGAACCGCGGAGTTCTGAGAGATAATTGTGTGACTCATTTTCCTCCTCACAATGAGGATTAACAAGGATTACAAAGAGGTATGCAACATCTCACCTACAATCACAAACTTCTATCAACTTAATTCAAGCAAGCACAACCAGAAACGAATCTCTCAGGAGAGGAATAATTTCTATTATGCTGGTCAACCAACTAGATTTCAATATACTTGGTGAAAGTTCTGCAGCTTTCTCGCGTCTTCTAATGGAATTAGAAACCAGAGAAAAATAAGATCAAATTCAACAACATTATTATTTAGTTTCGAGTAAAACTGTGGAGACATTGTTTATTAATATCAAAACAAACAAGAAAACTATATATAGTAAGAAGAAGGAACAAAAACTACAATAGCCAGAATCACTATACCTTGAAAACAAATTGCATATTACAGGGTAAAGAAAGTCTTGTACTGGGGCAGAAGAAAATCTCTCAGCTCCTGAATCCAACCAAATTCAAAAACCTGGGTGCACAAAAATGAAACACAACTCAGCTCCTGGGTTCCACTACAAATTTTAATTGCTAAGCTAGTAAATATAAAGAAATCCAAAAATATAACGAATTAAAAATAAATTAAAAAAAACACATAATGATATTATTTTCACCATAGAAACAAGTTTAAGAAATGGGACAGGGAGAGTGCAATCATCTGAAAACAACAAAGTCAAAAATTAATGAAACCCTTTATATCGTTTTATGCAGAAAAAATTAAATTAATGTGTGTATGTGAGTTTAGAGAGAGACTCTCGGTTCCTAAAACCCAGTAAATTCAAAATAAAACCCATTTCACATACTAAAGCTAGAACCACTTTTTCTTCAAATTTGTCAACATTATGGAAAAACAATAACGAACGCAAACAGTCAGTGCCGTCCAAACTTGAAAACTATCAGATTACACGAAACAGAAATAGCAGAAAATATATATGTACACACAGTTACACACATATTCAGAGCTGATATGATGACAAAGAAAGTCGCAAAAAACACTAATAAGATTGTTAATTAGAAAATTATAGAAAACATATGCATACTAGTTCGGTCTCTCTGAAAGCATCGTTTACGTATCAGTGACTTTCATCTGTTGAGCTTACTAAACGAGAAGGGATTTTGAGAGGGACGTTAATAACTAGGGTTGCAATTAGGTAAAATTACAGATTGGGTGCTATATTTTGAGTTAACTTACATTCGATACCTCAAGTAGTGAGAATTGTATGTAAGCCATTTCATTTTGGGTGAATTTACCAATTTTTATTTTTAAATGCCCGAGTCCTCTAATTATTTTGGCCTGTTTGGGATACGAAGCCTCAAAAAGTCCTTCCAAGTTTGAAAAGTCCATTTGAAAAAAATTGTGATGTTTGGTCACAGATATGTAAAGGACTTTCTTGAAAACATAATGGTCAGGAAGTCCATTTCAGATAAATAAGAAAATATTGTTTTCAAAATCTCCTTTTAAGAAGCTATTTTTTTTTTTTTTTAGGATAAATTTATTATTACTGTGTACTTTTCATGGATTGATAATATTGTCTTATATTCTTTCTTAGTCATTCGTTCTACCACCACCACCATTACCACCGTTATCTTTCACCACCGTTATCACCGCCACCATCACCCTCCACCATTACCGCCACCTTCCACTGCCACCTTCCACTGCCACCATCACCTTCCACCACTACCACCGTGACCTTTTACAACCGCCACCATTGCCACCGCCACCTTCCACCGTTGCCACCGCCACCATCACCCTCCACCACCGCCACCACCTTTCACCACCACCTGCCACTACTATCACCACCTTCCACTATTACCACCACCGCCATTGCCACCCTCAACCGCAACCTTCCACCATTACTACCACTGTTGACATCATCACATTCCACCACCATCACCCTTAACCACCACCTTTGACCATCACCACCACCACCATCGCAATTGCCTTCTGCCACCACCACCACCACCAACATTGTCATCACCTTCCACCACTGTTGGCTTCACTATTTAAGGATAAAGGATAAAGGATACTACTGTCAATAAAAAAATAATCTACAAGTTAAAGTAAATTTAAAAAATGTGCTCGTCAAACGTCTTTTTCTTATGAACTTCTTTCAACAAATCCCTTCCACGAAGGCCTTATCAATGAAGGACTTTTAATATGAAAATGCTCCCCCAAACAGGGCTTTACTTTTTTTAATATATTATTAGCACAAAGTTCCTTCTTATGGTGTCGTGGTCCAATTAAAGATTAACGCGTGCCTTAAATAAAAAAAAAAATGAATTAAATCTATTTCTGATAGATTAACCTGGTAGAATCCATATTACATATATAAAATTACCCATTCGCATTACCGAATATCAAAACCCTAATGTTCATAATCTTATCATTTGTTTGTCTCATTTCATCCTTATCAAAACAACCCCTCCCTCTCTATGGTACTATATTTGGCTCCAATAAAGATTTTACACCCTTCAACCACAACCATTTTTCCATGATGTTGTAATGGGTGTACCATAATTCAATCCAAGTATAGTAAGAATAAGAGAGGGAGCAGTGGAGAGAAAGAAAGAAAGAGAAAAAAAAATATGGTGGTGTTACTGTAGGCGAGTTGGAAGGGGCTGTGGTGGTGGCAATAGGTGGGGAGTGGCAATGATTAGATTTTTGGAATGAAACATTCCTCAATTTGTGTGTGTGTGTGTGTGTGTGTGTGTGTCAATTAGTCCCACCAGATAAAAAGGTCGAAAAGATGGACCATCACAACCAAAAATGATTCAATGTTTAGTGGGAAGGCATTCATGACTTTCCCAAGAAAAGGAAAATTCAAATAAGAAATTTGGCCCTTCGCAACAATGTCATGATGTGAGGCCATGTTCACCTTAAATGTCTGGTAGGATGAGGGTTCCAAGGATCGGTCAGCATTACTAATAACACTTGGTGGAGGATGAACATCCAAACTGTCTTCTTTGTGAACTGTAGGGGTGTTCATATAATCCGTCAATCCGATCCGATCTATGTGGATCAGATTGGTTTTCTAGTTTTATGGTTCAGTGATGGATTAAAAATTTATTAATCCATAGTGAGTGGATCGGTCAACGGATTAGGCTCTGAAAAACCGATTCAATTCGATCCGCATAATTTATATACATATATTATATATATTTATATATTATATAATACATACAACTAATGTATAATACATTATTTGTATTTTTTATTTTTTTATTCATTTTTTAAAAAGATTTTCCACCCCTAGGGATGCTTTAGTGCTTTACACTTTCTAATTCATTTCACTTGAATTACTTCGGAAGAGAGGTGCATCTCAATCTCTCGACTCATTCTCCAAAGCCCAAAGAACCCTAGGCATCTCCAATCTCTATTAGCCCAACGTTAGTTACAGGCTCTTATGTTGGTAATTTAAGAATTCTTTTACTGGCCATAACTAAAATATAGTAATTATATTGGGTTGTTTAGAAAAAGCTCAATCCGTTGGAACTGAACAAATCCAATCCGTTATTTCATGGATCAATTCAGTTTGGATTAAGACATCCCACGGATCAATTCGGTTTCAGACTTAACCAATCCGTGGGGACCGAATTGGATTGAATTTTACCCCTAATCCCAACCGAACCGATCCGACCAGCCCTAATGAACTGTGATTAGTCTTCTGTTGATAATGAACTTGACACACTGATGCAAACTTGAGGGGACTGCCATGTGTATCCCAGGGAACGTTTGGGACATTACATGCAGTCCCTTCGAGTTTTGCATCAGTGCATTAAGTTCATTATCAACAAAAAACTAATCACAGTTCACTATGGCATGCCATGTGTATCCCAGGAACATTTGGGACATTTTTTCGAGTTTAGAACTCTTATAAATGTATGTTGGTTCATTTAACCATTTTTTGATTTTTTGGCCCACGAGGTGTTGTGCGGGTCCCAAGTTAAGTTTCAGTGCTCGAGAATCTTCCGATTTTTAATTTATATATTTGATGCATTTATATGTCTATATACATGTGGATAGATATTTTCATGGCATAAGGGTAGTTAAGTTTGTAGAAATGGGGCATTTTTGTAACTTGATTGTAATACCCCTAATTTTAAAAAGGACAGTCTCGGTATTTTAATTATTGTTTTATTGCATTTTAAGTGCTTATTTGATTATTTGCTTATTTGCACTTTGATTATTCTTTAATTAAATTAATTGTGTTATTTATTTTATTTAATGAAATTTTATTTAGTTGAATTAATTGTGTTAATTGTTTAAATGGTTTAGTTGTGTTACAAATTGTATTTAAATGAATTAATTGATTTATTTGGGTAAATTAGTTTTATTAATTATTAAAGCATAGTGAGGGTTTTGTATGTGTGGGAAATCACATAATAGGTTTAGCCGACTTAGCGATAGATTTAATTATTGTTCTTTTCCTTCTCTGAGCGGGATTAGAATTAGGGTTTGTGGTTTTCTTAAGTCTATAAATATATCATAATAAGGTTGCCTAGGGTTGAAAAAAAAAACACAAGCTGTATAAACACGTATAGAGAGGTTTGAGAGAGAACAGAGGGAAACAGTTAGGGTTTTAGCGGAGGGTCAAACTAAGGAGGAAGGAAGGAAGTCTGTTTCTAGATTGAACCAAGAGCAACGGAGGTGTTGAACGACAGTCTAGAATCTGTCGAAAAGCTCAGAGACGGTGGTTAAGGTTTCAAAACTGAAACTAAAGACAAGTTTTATTCTAACTCATTCGCTTAAACCTGTGTTCTGTGCATGCTATATAGTCTCCAGGAATTAATTCAAACTTTAAAACGGATGTTTGATGCATGTCATAGCAGACGGTAAACTATTTTTGTGTTTTGATTAACTGAAATTGTTTTGTGCATAAACTGGTATCAAATATGTTTTAAATTTTGTTAGCAACTCGTATTGGAATTTGAGGAGTTTCTGGATCTTGTGGGTCTAAGATTGAACCCTAAAAATATTAATAAACACAATACCGAGGCTCTGAACTTCGCCGGAGGCGAAGAAGATGAACGGACTTGAAGATACGGCTCTTAGAGGGAAGAGAGCTGGCTTTCTAAAGGAGGGAGCCAGCTCCCACAAGGAGAGAGCTGGCTCCCACTTGTGGGGAGCCGGCTCCCAAGAGAGCAGAGGCGGCTCTCAATGTTTGGGAGCCTGCTCTCGCCCTGAAACACACAGAAACTGTTTTTTTAGGGTCTGTTTGGCTGTCTGGGGTATTTTTAAATTGTTTAAATTGCACTAAATGATTTAAATAACTACTATGGACCTATAAAAATACTAGGAAGCATTATTACATTAATGTATTAAGGGATGGAGCAGCATGAAGTAACTGAAACGCCTGCACGTTGAATATGGTTTTGCTGATTTATTTACTTACTGAAACTTAGCAAATCTTTTGTATATAGTTTAATAATGTTTAATCATATTTCAACCATGCTACAAGTGTAGTGGATTATTTGTAATTAACTATGCTTGGATGTGATTAAATTGATATTTAATTTGTTGTAAACTGTATCAATTTATGAACTGTTTGGAGGATTTAATTGTTTAGCTTTATTTTAGCAATTTAAAGGATTGGAACATGATTTTTAGGTCTTATAATGAATGCTTAAAATTGTCGTATATGTATTAAACTTTATTTATGCATATCTGGGAGTATGGTTGATGAGTTACTTAATATTGTTTTATCAATTATACTATGTGGAGGATTGTATGCACCGATATGGGACGGTGGCATACTAGGGATGGATTAGTTTAAACACTAAGTCCTACATATTCTGGATAGAGGTATGGATTAATCATAAAGATTAAGTCCTACTCATATTGGTATCAAGTGAATAAACATTTGAATGACAAACTTTGGTTTCTGGATGGATTTTTATACATATGTCAGGCCACTATATCTGATGAATGATATTTTGTATTAGGCTTATACGGACTTTATATATTTATGATTATGGTGCCGTGATATGAGCTTGAGTCTCAGGATCGTGATTGAGGTGCGTATATCGCCTATGATGGATAACTGGACATAATTGTTGTTTCCTGGTAGGTCTAGGTACACATGACCACGTTATGTGCGATTTGCATGGTATCTCTAC